AGTGAGTCTTTGCGTAGTTTATTTTTAGGAGAATGTCATGATGCTGTAGGTCATTTTGGTTATAAGAAGACATCAGCAAACTTAGTACAGAAGTTTTGGTGGCCTTCTATGATGAAGGATGCAAAACTGTATGTCGAGACTTGTCAGGTTTGTCAAAGAGACAAAGCCAGGACTCAGGCTCCGCTTGGGCTGATCAAGCCCTTGCCGATCCCTGAAGGTCCAGGTCAGAGTGTCTCCATGGATTTTATGGACACTCTTGTGACCAGCAAAACCGACAAACGACACATATTCGTCATAGTAGATCGCTTTACTAAGTATGCCAGACTTATCGCGCTATCAAGTTGGGCAGTACCCTCCTTAGGTGTCAAATGTGATGCCGTACCTGGTCGTTTAAATCAGACTTCCATCTTTATCAAACGAGAAGGAGTTTACTATGGTCCATGTAGTGAACTTTGTGGTACCAATCATGCCTTTATGCCTATTGTAGTGGAAGCTGTCTCTTTCAATGATTATGTTTCTTGGGTGTCTAATAAATTAGGAGACAGCAAAGACAGATCACGTCATCAAACTGTTTATGGATAACTGGGTAAGGGATTTCGGTCTACCTACATCTATCGTAAGGGACAGGGATGTAAGATTTACCAGCGAACTGTGGCAGTCTACAGCTGAACAGATGGGAACCAAACTCCAGATGACGTTAGGGAATCATCCTGAGTCAAATGGACAGGCAGAACAGATTAACCGAGTGGTACAGCATTTGCTGCGGCACTACATCAAGCCAAGTCAGGATGACTGGGACGAGAAGTTACCTCTCGTCGCCAGCCTGTATAATAACGCAGTGCACAGTGCTACCGGAATGACTCCCAACCAACTGCATCTTGGTTGGAAGCCTAGAACTGCCTTGGACTTCTTACTAYCGGAAAGRGAATCYACTGCAGCACCTGGCAGCATAGAGTTTGCTGTTAAGTATGAACAGATGCTGCAGCAAGCCGTAGAGCACATTAGAAAAGCTCAAGATGCAATGATAGCATCTGAGAATAAGCATAGACGGCCTTCTAATTTCCAGGTAGGTGACAGAGTTTGGGTAAAAGCATCTGAACTTGGTCAGGAGCTAGGAATCTCTAGAAAATTGATGCCACAATTCTTCGGTCAGTGGGAGGTCCTGGATGTGATAGGAGATCAACCGGATGGGCCATCCTATGTGATTCGCATCCCACCCCATCTTCGCACCTACCCTGTATTCCATGCTTCAAAGTTGGCACCTTTCGCTGCTACTGAGCAGTTTCCTTCCAGGAGATCAATGCTGCCCCCAACCATGGATGGCGAAGTGGACATCGACCAGATTGTCGAGCATCGAGTGATGCCTGTTCCAGGACCATCAGG